TTCAGGTTCGTACGAAGTTCGTTCTGAAATGAGTGGATGGTGTATTGCATAGCTTTAGCCATTGGATTTCACTCAAAACCCACCAAATGACTCCTCCCACCATATTATGATGTTCCCCAAGTTTTGGACTCAATCCGATATCGATTGGTCCTTGAAATCGACAATTCAGGTTCGTACGAAGTTCGTTCTGAAATGAAGTGGATGGTGTATTGCATAGCTTTAGCCATTGGATTTCACTCAAAACCCACCAAATGACTCCTCCCACCATATTATGATGTTCCCCAAGTTTTGGACTCAATCCGATATCGATTGGTCCTTGAAATCGACAATTCAGGTTCGTACGAAGTTCGTTCTGAAATGAAGTGGATGGTGTATTGCATAGCTTTAGCCATTGGATTTCACTCAAACCCACCAAATGACTCCTCCCACCATATTATGATGTTCCCCAAGTTTTGGACTCAATCCGATATCGATTGGTCCTTGAAATCGGACAATTCAGGTTCGTACGAAGTTCGTTCTGAAATGAAGTGGATGGTGTATTGCATAGCTTTAGCCATTGGATTTCACTCAAAACCCACCAAATGACTCCTCCCACCATATTATGATGTTCCCCAAGTTTTGGACTCAATCCGATATCGATTGGTCCTTGAAATCGGACAATTCAGGTTCGTACGAAGTTCGTTCTGAAATGAAGTGGATGGTGTATTGCATAGCTTTAGCCATTGGATTTCACTCAAAACCCACCAAATGACTCCTCCCACCATATTATGATGTTCCCCAAGTTTTGGACTCAATCCGATATCGATTGGTCCTTGAAATCGGACAATTCAGGTTCGTACGAAGTTCGTTCTGAAATGAAGTGGATGGTGTATTGCATAGCTTTAGCCATTGGATTTCACTCAAAACCCACCAAATGACTCCTCCCACCATATTATGATGTTCCCCAAGTTTTGGACTCAATCCGATATCGATTGGTCCTTGAAATCGGACAATTCAGGTTCGTACGAAGTTCGTTCTGAAATGAAGTGGATGGTGTATTGCATAGCTTTAGCCATTGGATTTCACTCAAAACCCACCAAATGACTCCTCCCACCATATTATGATGTTCCCCAAGTTTTGGACTCAATCCGATATCGATTGGTCCTTGAAATCGGACAATTCAGGTTCGTACGAAGTTCGTTCTGAAATGAAGTGGATGGTGTATTGCATAGCTTTAGCCATTGGATTTCACTCAAAACCCACCAAATGACTCCTCCCACCATATTATGATGTTCCCCAAGTTTTGGACTCAATCCGATATCGATTGGTCCTTGAAATCGGACAATTCAGGTTCGTACGAAGTTCGTTCTGAAATGAAGTGGATGGTGTATTGCATAGCTTTAGCCATTGGATTTCACTCAAAACCCACCAAATGACTCCTCCCACCATATTATGATGTTCCCCAAGTTTTGGACTCAATCCGATATCGATTGGTCCTTGAAATCGGACAATTCAGGTTCGTACGAAGTTCGTTCTGAAATGAAGTGGATGGTGTATTGCATAGCTTTAGCCATTGGATTTCACTCAAAACCCACCAAATGACTCCTCCCACCATATTATGATGTTCCCCAAGTTTTGGACTCAATCCGATATCGATTGGTCCTTGAAATCGGACAATTCAGGTTCGTACGAAGTTCGTTCTGAAATGAAGTGGATGGTGTATTGCATAGCTTTAGCCATTGGATTTCACTCAAAACCCACCAAATGACTCCTCCCACCATATTATGATGTTCCCCAAGTTTTGGACTCAATCCGATATCGATTGGTCCTTGAAATCGGACAATTCAGGTTCGTACGAAGTTCGTTCTGAAATGAAGTGGATGGTGTATTGCATAGCTTTAGCCATTGGATTTCACTCAAAACCCACCAAATGACTCCTCCCACCATATTATGATGTTCCCCAAGTTTTGGACTCAATCCGATATCGATTGGTCCTTGAAATCGGACAATTCAGGTTCGTACGAAGTTCGTTCTGAAATGAAGTGGATGGTGTATTGCATAGCTTTAGCCATTGGATTTCACTCAAAACCCACCAAATGACTCCTCCCACCATATTATGATGTTCCCCAAGTTTTGGACTCAATCCGATATCGATTGGTCCTTGAAATCGGACAATTCAGGTTCGTACGAAGTTCGTTCTGAAATGAAGTGGATGGTGTATTGCATAGCTTTAGCCATTGGATTTCACTCAAAACCCACCAAATGACTCCTCCCACCATATTATGATGTTCCCCAAGTTTTGGACTCAATCCGATATCGATTGGTCCTTGAAATCGACAATTCAGGTTCGTACGAAGTTCGTTCTGAAATGAAGTGGATGGTGTATTGCATAGCTTTAGCCATTGGATTTCACTCAAAACCCACCAAATGACTCCTCCCACCATATTATGGTGTTCCCCAAGTTTTGGACTCAATCCGATATCGATTGGTCCTTGAAATCGGACAATTCAGGTTCGTACGAAGTTCGTTCTGAAATGAAGTGGATGGTGTATTGCATAGCTTTAGCCATTGGATTTCACTCAAAACCCACCAAATGACTCCTCCCACCATATTATGATGTTCCCCAAGTTTTGGACTCAATCCGATATCGATTGGTCCTTGAAATCGGACAATTCAGGTTCGTACGAAGTTCGTTCTGAAATGAAGTGGATGGTGTATTGCATAGCTTTAGCCATTGGATTTCACTCAAAACCCACCAAATGACTCCTCCCCACCCATATTATGATGTTCCCCAAGTTTTGGACTCAATCCGATATCGATTGGTCCTTGAAATCGGACAATTCAGGTTCGTACGAAGTTCGTTCTGAAATGAAGTGGATGGTGTATTGCATAGCTTTAGCCATTGGATTTCACTCAAAACCCACCAAATGACTCCTCCCACCATATTATGATGTTCCCCAAGTTTTGGACTCAATCCGATATCGATTGGTCCTTGAAATCGGACAATTCAGGTTCGTACGAAGTTCGTTCTGAAATGAAGTGGATGGTGTATTGCATAGCTTTAGCCATTGGATTTCACTCAAAACCCACCAAATGACTCCTCCCACCATATTATGATGTTCCCCAAGTTTTGGACTCAATCCGATATCGATTGGTCCTTGAAATCGGACAATTCAGGTTCGTACGAAGTTCGTTCTGAAATGAAGTGGATGGTGTATTGCATAGCTTTAGCCATTGGATTTCACTCAAAACCCACCAAATGACTCCTCCCACCATATTATGATGTTCCCCAAGTTTTGGACTCAATCCGATATCGATTGGTCCTTGAAATCGGACAATTCAGGTTCGTACGAAGTTCGTTCTGAAATGAAGTGGATGGTGTATTGCATAGCTTTAGCCATTGGATTTCACTCAAAACCCACCAAATGACTCCTCCCACCATATTATGATGTTCCCCAAGTTTTGGACTCAATCCGATATCGATTGGTCCTTGAAATCGGACAATTCAGGTTCGTACGAAGTTCGTTCTGAAATGAAGTGGATGGTGTATTGCATAGCTTTAGCCATTGGATTTCACTCAAAACCCACCAAATGACTCCTCCCACCATATTATGATGTTCCCCAAGTTTTGGACTCAATCGATATCGATTGGTCCTTGAAATCGGACAATTCAGGTTCGTACGAAGTTCGTTCTGAAATGAAGTGGATGGTGTATTGCATAGCTTTAGCCATTGGATTTCACTCAAAACCCACCAAATGACTCCTCCCACCATATTATGATGTTCCCCAGTTTTGGACTCAATCCGATATCGATTGGTCCTTGAAATCGGACAATTCAGGTTCGTACGAAGTTCGTTCTGAAATGGAGTGGTGGTGTATTGCATAGTTTTAGCCATTGGATTTCACTCAAAACCCACCAAATGACTCCTCCCACCATATTATGTTGTTCCCCAAGTTTTGGACTCAATCCGATATCGATTGGTCCATGAAATCGGACTATTCAGGTTCGTAGAAGTTCGTTCTGAAATGGAGTGGTTGGTGTATTGCATAGTTTTAGCCATTGGATTTCACTCAAAACCAACCAAATGACTCCTCCCACCATATTATGTTGTTCCCCAAGTTTTGGACTCAATCCGATATCGATTGGTCCATGAAATCGGACTATTCAGGTTCGTAGGAAGTTCGTTCTGAAATGGAGTGGTTGGTGTATTGCATAGTTTTAGCCATTGGATTTCACTCAAAACCAACCAAATGACTCCTCCCACCATATTATGTTGTTCCCCAAGTTTTGGACTCAATCCGATATCGATTGGTCCATGAAATCGGACTATTCAGGTTCGTAGGAAGTTCGTTCTGAAATGGAGTGGTTGGTGTATTGCATAGTTTTAGCCATTGGATTTCACTCAAAACCAACCAAATGACTCCTCCCCCCATATTATGTTGTTCCCCAAGTTTTGGACTCAATCCGATATCGATTGGTCCATGAAATCGGACTATTCAGGTTCGTAGGAAGTTCGTTCTGAAATGGAGTGGTTGGTGTATTGCATAGTTTTAGCCATTGGATTTCACTCAAAACCAACCAAATGACTCCTCCCACCATATTATGTTGTTCCCCAAGTTTTGGACTCAATCCGATATCGATTGGTCCATGAAATCGGACTATTCAGGTTCGTAGGAAGTTCGTTCTGAAATGGAGTGGTTGGTGTATTGCATAGTTTTAGCCATTGGATTTCACTCAAAACCAACCAAATGACTCCTCCCACCATATTATGTTGTTCCCCAAGTTTTGGACTCAATCCGATATCGATTGGTCCATGAAATCGGACTATTCAGGTTCGTAGAAGTTCGTTCTGAAATGAAGTGGTTGGTGTATTGCATAGTTTTAGCCATTGGATTTCACTCAAAACCCACCAAATGACTCCTCCCACCATATTATGTTGTTCCCCAAGTTTTGGACTCAATCCGATATCGATTGGTCCTTGAAATCGGACAATTCAGGTTCGTACGAAGTTCGTTCTGAAATGAAGTGGATGGTGTATTGCATAGCTTTAGCCATTGGATTTCACTCAAACCCACCAAATGACTCCTCCCACCATATTATGGTGTTCCCCAAGTTTTGGACTCAATCCGATATCGATTGGTCCTTGAAATCGGACAATTCAGGTTCGTACGAAGTTCGTTCTGAAATGAAGTGGATGGTGTATTGCATAGCTTTAGCCATTGGATTTCACTCAAAACCCACCAAATGACTCCTCCCACCATATTATGATGTTCCCCAAGTTTTGGACTCAATCCGATATCGATTGGTCCTTGAAATCGGACAATTCAGGTTCGTACGAAGTTCGTTCTGAAATGAAGTGGATGGTGTATTGCATAGCTTTAGCCATTGGATTTCACTCAAAACCCACCAAATGACTCCTCCCACCATATTATGATGTTCCCCAAGTTTTGGACTCAATCCGATATCGATTGGTCCTTGAAATCGGACAATTCAGGTTCGTACGAAGTTCGTTCTGAAATGAAGTGGATGGTGTATTGCATAGCTTTAGCCATTGGATTTCACTCAAAACCCACCAAATGACTCCTCCCACCATATTATGATGTTCCCCAAGTTTTGGACTCAATCCGATATCGATTGGTCCCTGAAATCGGACAATTCAGGTTCGTACGAAGTTCGTTCTGAAATGAAGTGGATGGTGTATTGCATAGCTTTAGCCATTGGATTTCACTCAAAACCCACCAAATGACTCCTCCCACCATATTATGATGTTCCCCAAGTTTTGGACTCAATCCGATATCGATTGGTCCTTGAAATCGGACAATTCAGGTTCGTACGAAGTTCGTTCTGAAATGAAGTGGATGGTGTATTGCATAGCTTTAGCCATTGGATTTCACTCAAAACCCACCAAATGACTCCTCCCACCATATTATGTGTTCCCCAAGTTTTGGACTCAATCCGATATCTGAGCGGTCCTTGAACGAAAACAATTCAGGTTCGTTACGAAGTCGTTTTGAAATGAAGTGGTGGTGATTGCATAGCTTTTAGCCATTGGATTTCAACTCAAAACCCACCAAATGCTCCCTCCCACCATATTATGATGTTCCCCAAGTTTTCGGAACTCAATCCGATATCGATTGGTCCTTGAAATCGACAATTCAGGTTTCTTACGAAGTTCGTTCTGAAATGAAGTGGATGGTGTATTGCATAGTTTAGCCATTGGATTTCATCAAAACCCAACCCAAATGACTCCTCCCACCATATTATGATGTTCCCCAAGTTTTGGACTCAATCCGATATCGATTGGTCCTTGAAATCCGACAATTCAGGTTCGTACGAAGTTCGTTCTGAAATGAAGTGGATGGTGTATTGCATAGCTTTAGCCATTGGATTTCACTCAAAACCCACCAAATGACTCCTCCCCCCATATTATGATGTTCCCCAAGTTTTGGACTCAATCCGATATCGATTGGTCCTTGAAATCGGACAATTCAGGTTCGTACGAAGTTCGTTCTGAAATGAAGTGGATGGTGTATTGCATAGCTTTAGCCATTGGATTTCACTCAAAACCCACCAAATGACTCCTCCCACCATATTATGTGTTCCCCAAGTTTTGGACTCAATCCGATATCGATTGGTCCTTGAAATCGGACAATTCAGGTTCGTACGAAGTTCGTTCTGAAATGAAGTGGTTGGTGTATTGCATAGTTTTAGCCATTGGATTTCACTCAAAACCCACCAAATGACTCCTCCCACCATATTATGTTGTTCCCCCAAGTTTTGGACTCAATCCGATATCGATTGGTCCATGAAATCGGACTATTCAGGTTCGTAGAAGTTCGTTCTGAAATGGAGTGGTTGGTGTATTGCATAGTTTTAGCCATTGGATTTCACTCAAAACCCACCAAATGACTCCTCCCACCATATTATGTTGTTCCCCAAGTTTTGGACTCAATCCGATATCGATTGGTCCATGAAATCGGACTATTCAGGTTCGTAGAAGTTCGTTCTGAAATGGAGTGGTGGTGTATTGCATAGTTTTAGCCATTGGATTTCACTCAAAACCCACCAAATGACTCCTCCCACCATATTATGTTGTTCCCCAAGTTTTGGACTCAATCCGATATCGATTGGTCCATGAAATCGGACTATTCAGGTTCGTAGAAGTTCGTTCTGAAATGGAGTGGTGGTGTATTGCATAGTTTTAGCCCATTGGATTTCACTCAAAACCCACCAAATGACTCCTCCCACCATATTAGGTGTTCCCCAAGTTTTGGACTCAATCCGATATCGATTGGTCCATGAAATCGGACTATTCAGGTTCGTAGAAGTTCGTTCTGAAATGGAGTGGTGGTGTATTGCATAGTTTTAAGCCATTGGATTTCACTCAAAACCCACCAAATGACTCCTCCCACCATATTATGGTGTTCCCCAAGTTTTGGACTCAATCCGATATCGATTGGTCCATGAAATCGGACTATTCAGGTTCGTAGGAAGTTCGTTCTGAAATGGAGTGGTTGGTGTATTGCATAGTTTTAGCCATTGGATTTCACTCAAAACCAACCAAATGACTCCTCCCACCATATTATGTTGTTCCCCAAGTTTTGGACTCAATCCGATATCGATTGGTCCTGAAATCGGACTATTCAGGTTCGTACGAAGTTCGTTCTGAAATGGAGTGGTTGGTGTATTGCATAGTTTTAGCCATTGGATTTCACTCAAAACCCACCAAATGACTCCTCCCACCATATTATGATGTTCCCCAAGTTTTGGACTCAATCCGATATCGATTGGTCCTTGAAATTGGACAATTCAGGTTCGTACGAAGTTCGTTCTGAAATGGAGTGGTTGGTGTATTGCATAGTTTTATCCATTGGATTTCACTCAAAACCCACCAAATGACTCCTCCCACCATATTATGATGTTCCCCAAGTTTTGGACTCAATCCGATATCGATTGGTCCTTGAAATTGGACGATTCAGGTTCGTACGAAGTTCGTTCTGAAATGGAGTGGTTGGTGTATTGCATAGTTTTATCCATTGGATTTCACTCAAAACCCACCAAATGACTCCCCCACCATATTATGATGTTCCCCAAGTTTTGGACTCAATCCGATATCGATTGGTCCTTGAAATGGACGATTCAGGTTCGTACGAAGTTTCGTTCTGAAATGGAGTGGTTGGTGTATTGCATAGTTTTATCCATTGGATTTCACTCAAAACCCACCAAATGACTCCTCCCACCATATTATGATGTTCCCCAAGTTTTGGACTCAATCCGATATCGATTGGTCCTTGAAATTGGACAATTCAGGTTCGTACGAAGTTCGTTCTGAAATGAGTGGTTGGTGTATTGCATAGTTTTATCCATTGGATTTCACTCAAAACCCACCAAATGACTCCTCCCACCATATTATGATGTTCCCCAAGTTTTGGACTCAATCCGATATCGATTGGTCCTTGAAATTGGACAATTCAGGTTCGTACGAAGTTCGTTCTGAAATGAAGTGGTTGGTGTATTGCATAGTTTTAGCCATTGGATTTCACTCAAAACCCACCAAATGACTCCTCCCACCGTATTATGATGTTCCCCAAGTTTTGGACTCAATCCGATATCGATTGGTCCTTGAAATCGAACAATTCAGGTTCGTACGAAGTTCGTTCTGAAATGGAGTGGTTGGTGTATTGCATAGTTTTAGCCATTGGATTTCACTCAAAACCCACCAAATGACTCCTCCCACCATATTATGATGTTCCCCAAGTTTTGGACTCAATCCGATATCGATTGGTCCTTGAAATCGGACAATTCAGGTTCGTACGAAGTTCGTTTTGAAATGGAGTGGTTGGTGTATTGCATAGTTTTAGCCATTGGATTTCACTCAAAACCCACCAAATGACTCCTCCCACCATATTATGATGTTCCCCAAGTTTTGGACTCAATCCGATATCGATTGGTCCTTGAAATCGGACAATTCAGGTTCGTACGAAGTTCGTTCTGAAATGGAGTGGTTGGTGTATTGCATAGTTTTAGCCATTGGATTTCACTCAAAACCAACCAAATGACTCCTCCCACCATATTATGATGTTCCCCAAGTTTTGGACTCAATCTGATATCGATTGGTCCTTGAAATCGGACAATTCAGGTTCGTACGAAGTTCGTTCTGAAATGAAGTGGTTGGTGTATTGCATAGTTTTAGCCATTGGATTTCACTCAAAACCCACCAAATGACTCCTCCCACCATATTATGATGTTCCCCAAGTTTTGGACTCAATCCGATATCGATTGGTCCTTGAAATCGGACAATTCAGGTTCGAACGAAGTTCGTTCTGAAATGGAGTGGTTGGTGTATTGCATAGTTTTAGCCATTGGATTTCACTCAAAACCCACCAAATGACTCCTCCCACCATATTATGATGTTCCCCAAGTTTTGGACTCAATCCGATATCGATTGGTCCTTGAAATCGGACAATTCAGGTTCGTACGAAGTTCGTTCTGAAATGAAGTGGTTGGTGTATTGCATAGTTTTAGCCATTGGATTTCACTCAAACCCACCAAATGACTCCTCCCACCATATTATGATGTTCCCCAAGTTTTGGACTCAATCCGATATCGATTGGTCCTTCAAATCGGACAATTCAGGTTCGTACGAAGTTCGTTTCTGAAATGAAGTGGATGGTGTATTGCATAGTTTAGCCATTGGATTTCACTCAAAACCCACCAAATGACTCCTCCCACCATATTATGATGTTCCCCAAGTTTTGGACTCAATCCGATATCGATTGGTCCTTGAAATCGGACAATTCAGGTTCGTACGAAGTTCGTTCTGAAATGAAGTGGATGGTGTATTGCATAGCTTTAGCCATTTGATTTCACTCAAAACCCACCAAATGACCCCTCCCACCATATTATGATGTTCCCCAAGTTTTGGACTCAATCCGATATCGATTGGTCCTCGAAATCGGACAATTCAGGTTCGTACGAAGTTCGTTCTGAAATGAAGTGGATGGTGTATTGCATAGCTTTAGCCATTGGATTTCACTCAAAACCCACCAAATGACCCCTCCCCCATATTATGATGTTTCCCAAGTTTTGGACTCAATCCGATGATTGGTCCTCGAAATCGGACCAATTCCAGGTTCGTACGAGTTGTTCTGAAATGAAGTGGATGGTGTATTGCATAGCTTTAGCCGATTGGTTTTTCACTTCAAAAACCCCACCAAATACTCCTCCCTCCCCATATTTGGTGTTCCCCAAGTTTTGGACCTCAATCCGATTTCGAATTGGCCCTTGAATCGGGCACACCATGTCAAGGTTCGTACTAATTCATCTGAAATGAAGTGGAATGGTGTATTGCATGCTTTAGCCATTGGATTTTACTCAAAACCCACCAAAATGACTCCTCCCACCATATTAGGGTGTTCCCCAAGTTTGGGACGCTCATCCTTATCGATTGGGTCCTCGAATCGACAAAAAAGGTTCGTACGAAGTTCGTTATGAAATGAAGTGGCACTACAAAAAAAAGGGTCATTACCGACCAACATTCTCCGAGGGCCCCGAAATTTCCTCGGTAAAAGTGTTTTTTCCGACCAAAAATACTGTCCGTTGGAAATATGTCACGAGCCTGAAATTTATTTCCGACAAAGGAAATACCCTCGGAAAAAGTCTCAATTGTCGTCGGAAATGTAATTTATTTGGTGGGAAGACTTGGCGCCAACTTTATTAACGACCAAAAGTATGTTTGACGGAAATAGGATGATTATTTCCGAGGGCTTTCTCTTTCCGTCGGAACTGTTTGACTATTTCCGAGGGGCTTCTTATTCCGTCGAAATTGCTTGAACATTTCCGAGGGGTTCTCCTTTCGTCTGAATTGTTTGACTACTTTCGAGGAGAAATATGTCCTCTCGGAAAAACGTTTGAATGTCAATTTCCCATTTAGAATAAATTAAAAAAATTTGATTGATGATATTGTTAGCTAGGGAAGAAAACAGATTTTTTTCAAGAGAAGTTGGTTATCATGTAGACCCAACAAACCCAATGCCAATATATATGGTAGTTGGTGGGGGCTGTGTTCCATGGGGGGGTTGGTACAGTTTCATTCGCAAGTCTCTACACAAAACAAAACAAAGGCATTATCTGCATATGAAATGAAACCCAAATTAAAAATCAAAATGATATGAAAATTATAATTTGATGCACAAACCAAAGCTCTCTGTAGTGATATGCAGTTCTTATTTGAACCTATCAACTTTTTGGCCCCTCCCCCACAAAAAAGAAGAGCCTCGCTAGCTGTGAATTTCCCATTAGAATAAGTATAAAAAAAAATTGATTGATAATAACCAATCACACTCCAAAATAAATAACTAAAAATAGCCAATCCAAAAAAAATAAGCAATCACAATTACATGACAACTCATCCCATAGTTGTAAGTTGAACACATCGATCCCTTCTTCAATCAATTTCATTGTCTTCAACATCATTTTGGATGGCATGCATGCTTTGAATTTGAGTCTCTGCTTCTTGGTATGGCTCAATCTCATCATTAGTCGTCTCATAAGCATTTCTTGGATTTGTTTCCACGACAAAACTCCAAATTTTATTTCTAACCCCCTTCACATAAAAAACTTGGGTTGCTTGGCTTGCTAGTACGAATGGCTCTTGAGTATTTAGCTTGCGTGTTGTATTAACAGTGATTATTCCATAACGATCTATCTTGTAACCTGTTCCTTTTCGTGCCATGTCATACCAATCACAATTGAACAATACAACTCTATTTCCTTCTGTGTAACGGAGTTCAACAATATCTACTAAGGTTCCATACCAAGGCACATCGTCAATCTGATTCTCCCCCTTAACCATAACTCCACTATTTTGTGTTTTTTTATTCTCATCACGCTGCAATGTATGAAATCTAAAACCACTAATATAATAACCAGGATAATAAGTTACTCGCCTTTCAGGACCTCGAGCCAAAGAAAGCATTTGCTTACTAACTTTACCATCGTTGTATAGTTCTGTGACCTGCATAGAAAGGAAAAAATATTTTTAAATAAACATCTATGACATTCAATAATTTTTTGAATACAATATTATCCATACCCTTTTAGAAATCCAGTTTGAAAATTGAAGCCTATGTGACTCCTCCACATTATCAACACTAGACTGGATTAGAACGTTCTTATGTTCTCTGCATACATAACAAATGATTATATTCAAATTAATACAGTGACATATTACATCTAAATAAATAGTAACTTATTAAATACACTTAGAAATTATAGTGTTTAAGAATTCTTACTGGACAAATGGAAAAGCTTCATCACAATTTTGCAGGACATAATGAGTGGCAGCCTTATGAAGTTCGATGCTCATCTCTCTAAGTACACCTTTCCCAAAGCTCGACCAGGTGTTGAGAAAATAGATAACGGAGATGCATCATATGACGGTTGACCTCCATCGTCATTTCTATCTCTTTTATTAAACTTAGTTTCAACTCGATGCAAATAGCGAGAGCAAAATATTAAACACTCATCTCCCAAGACACCTTCGGCAATAGACCCTTCTGGATGAGCCTTATTACGAACATAAGTCTTTAGCTTATGCAAATACCTAATTACGTCATAAATACCAAAATTAGAGAATCATACATCAGCAGTTAAACAAATCATGAATAAAATTAATATCTAAACATTGAGATTACCTTTCCACAGGATACATCCACCTGAATTGTACTGGACCGGCCACTTTTGCCTCCCATGCCAAGTGGCAAGTTAGGTGAATCATGATGTCAAAAAAAGCAGGAGGGAATATTTTTTCCAACTTGCATAGAGTTATGGCAATTTTTGTCAAGAAGATTCAAGTCATCTTCTCTTAAAACTTTAGCACACAATTCCTTGAAAAAGTACGATAATTCAATTAAAGGCTCACTTACATCTTTGGGCAATAAATCTCGCGCCACAAACGGAAGTAATCTCTCTAAGAACACATGACAATCATGAGTTTTCATACCAGAAATATTACGCTCTGGAGCATTCACACATCGAGATAAATTTCCAGAGTACCCATCTGGAACTTTCAACTCCATTAACCATTGACATAAAGCTTTGTTATCATCATTTGACAATGTATAATCGCCTGGGATAAAATAGAGCTTACCATTATCTCCTTCTTCTGGATGATACCTGTGTCTTATACCCATTTCTTGAAGATCAAGACGAGCATTTAAAGAATCTTTTGTTTTACCATCAATGCTCATCATTGTGCCAATCACATTCTCAAATACATTTTTCTCAATGTGCATGACATCTAAATTGTGACGCACCAAAAGTGTTTTCCAGTAAGGCAATTGGAAAAATATTGAATGTTTTTTCCAATTATGATCTTTTCCAAACCCAAGTATTGTATGCTTTTTCCCATCCTTGCCATGTGTTATTTCTCTTAATTCACTAAGTTCATTTATCACATCATCACCAGATGGTCTCTTGGGTGCAAGTCTTATTTCCTTTGTATTATCAAATTGGCTTCGTTGATTACGCCATACGTGGTCAGACGGTAAAAATCTTCTATGACCCAAATAACATGTTTTTAGACCCATGAGATAACCGACGATGCGAAGTATCAGATGCACAATATGGGCATGCCATTACCCAAATAACCAGACGTACTCCAACCTGACATGTATGCATATGCTGGATAATCATTGATAGTCCAAAGAAGTGCAGCTCTCATCTGAAAATTTTGCTTTGCATATATATCATACGTTTCAACACCAATTTCCCACAATGTTCGCAATTCGTCTATCAATGGCCTCATGTATACATCAATGTCATGGCATGGACCCTTAGGTCCAGGAATAAGTAAAGTCATGAAAACATAAGGCTCCTTCATGCACATCCACGGAGGAAGATTATATGGGTATATAAGAACTGGCCAAATACTATAATGCAAATTCATGTTCCCAAAAGGGTTAAATCCATCTGTTGCCAAACCAAGTCTTACATTTCGAGGTTCCATACCAAATGACTCATGAATTTGATTAAACGATTTCCAAGCCTCAGAATCTGCTGGATGCCTCAACACTCCATCTTTACACGATCCTTAAAATGCCATCTCATATCTACAGCTGTCTTGGATGACATGAATAATCTTTGAAGTCTTGGTGTGAGTGGAAAATATCTAAGCACCTTCCATGGAACCCTTTTACCTTTCTTTTTGCTACCCTTTCCTTGTTTCTTCCATCTCGAAAGCTTACATGTAGGACACTGCGTTGCATTTGCATGCTCCTTATAATAAATGATGCAATCATTATTGCATGCATCTATCTTATCATAATGAAGACCTAAATCTGAAATAATTTTCTTTGCACCGTTAGTGGTTGTAGGTAACTTCTCACAAAAAGGAAATGCATTTTTCAACAATGTTAGCAACATACCAAATGCTTTATTGCTCATAGTACCAATACCCTTGATATGCATAAGGTTCACAACAAAAGACAAATTAGAATATGATTCACAACCAGCGTACAATGGCTGTTCTGCCTCTTCTAACAATTTGTAAAACTTGTGCGCATCTCCATTTGGATCTTGTGGACAACCTTCTTCTATTAAACCATGCATATCATCGTCTTGCTCCATACTGGCCACATCATGTCCATCATTGTCACTATCACTTTCATCACTTTCATCACTATCATCACTTTCATCAATATCCTCATCCTCACCCTCACCGTGCAAATACCATGTAGTATAAGTTAGTTTAATTCCATTATAAAGAAGATGCTTGTGTACCTCATACTTAGATGTCTATATCGATTACTGCATTTAGAGCAAGGACAGAAGATCTTAGAATCATCCGGCTTAACATGGTTGTATGCATAATTGAGAAAACTTTCAACTCCTACAAAATAATCTTCTGACGACCTCCCAGATTGCATCCAAGATTTATCAACAGGCATTTCTCTACATAAATAAGATCCAATTAATATTAATAGAACAAACGACCAAAAATCCAGATATTAAACCTTTATCATTTTCATATTTGAAACATCACCCAAAAGTTTGACTAGCATTTCTCTGCATGCCATATATTCTTTTAACAAAAGCTAGGGAAAAAAAACAGATTTTTTTAAAGAGAATTTGGTTATCATGTAGACCCAACAAGAAAGAAAGAACCAAACCACCGTGCCATGCATCCACCATTCGCATAAAATTAAAGGAATCCAAAACAAAATTATGCTTGTATTGCAAACCAAAGTAGCTAACATTTTTAAACATGACATATTATGTAATTCTCTAAAACATCACCCAAAAGTCTCAGCAGCAGCAGAGACAGATAAATACCACAACAAAATAGACTAACAAAACAGAGTCTTAGATTTTCAAAGCAATAAATTAAATCACTGTCAGAGATCATAGTTTTGTACCAAGCTTTTCCTGCGGCCTTGATAGTAGAAGCCTCCTCCTGTATAAAAGAAATTCAACACTTTAGCACTGGTGCACACATCTTAGACTTCTTATAACACAATTACATGAACATTAATGAGAGTTATTCTCTGAAGGGTTGATGCTGCTGATACCAAATTCTTAGTCACAGAAGTGCCAAAAATAGAATAGTTCAGCTGTAAATTGAAGAAAAGAAGAAATAAAAGGTCTCCTAAGTGTGTTGAAATGGGTTGAGCTATTGTAGGTTGTCCTCAAATATGATAAACAGCTTTATCAGTTAAATAGTTGTTTCACCTAGAAATGCTTAAAGTACTCCAAAAAATCATATATACCTTATAACCACCAAAATATCATGGATGGATACAAAACAGTGCAATACTATGTGCTGATGGAGAAAATGCAGTTGGATATTACTTGTCAGAAAGTCACTAAGCAGTAGGATATTTAACTAAAAAGTTTGGAAATTCAATGGTATCCTGGCAAAAATGCAGATCACATGGACAGCCTCAGAATATTCTTATCACAGCCGCAAGGGACTAATTAATGGTTCTGGGTTGTGAAGATGGTTGTAAAAAGTTAAAAACCACCCAAAACATACTAGAATATGAAGGCAAATGATTTCTGAGTTAAATTTGGTTTTCTTTGACTGCAAACCAGTAAATTGGGTGTCCTTTTGTTAGTTGCCCTTAGTCATTTGTGTACACATCTAGAACATGAAAAGGAAGGAAAACAGAAAACAAACAGGACCATGTGTTCTTGATCTAGTCATACATATTTCTCTTCCTAATGTTATAGAAGATGTCCTAATGTTATAGAAGATGTCCTGTAAAAAGTTAAAAACCACCCAAAACATACTAGAATATGAAGGCAAATGATTTCTGAGTTAAATTTGGTTTTCTTTGACTGCAAACCAGTAAATGGGGTGTCCTTTTGTTAGTTGCCCTTAGTCATTTGTGTACACATCTAGAACAATAAAAGGAAGGAAAATAGAAAACAAACAGGACCATGTGTTCTTGATCTAGTCATACATATTTCTCTTCCTAATGTTATAGAAGATGTCCTGTAAAAAGTTAAAAAACCACCCAAAACATACTAGAATATGAAGGCAAATGATTTCTGAGTTAAATTTGGTTTTCTTTGACTGCAAACCAGTAAATTGGGTGTCCTTTTTGTTAGTTGCCCTTAGTCATTTGTGTACACATCTAGAACAATAAAAGGAAGGAAAACATAAAACAAACAAGACCATGTGTTCTTGATCTAGTCATACATATTTCTCTTCCTAATGTTATAGAAGATGTCCTAATTTCAAATCCTCTTCCCCATTAATTAAAAAACATTAATACTTTTATGCTCATATAATACTTCTTCATTGAAATACACAGCAGCAAATAACACAGAGGCAAAACCAGTCAGATGATGGACAAATTTTTTATTTCTTCTTTGGTGGCCAACAAGCCAATTCATAAATAAAGAGTAAAAATCTGTAGCCAGAAAGTGCAGAAAACAATAATTTCACAACATATAATCTATTCTTTATTGGAACGACACATATTAAAAAACAAGGATAGGTTGAGACTATACCTTTATTGGACCAAAACGAAGTCTTAGATTGAAAGATGATAGATGGCAAAATCTGAAAACCAAACACACTCTATCAGATTAAAAAGATGATTAACTTCTGTTTTTTGGGTCGAAATCTAGTTTCAAAATGAAACCAGAAGAGATCAGATAACAAAACAGAATGTAGAGATAAAGAATCACTGTGCAGAGAGTAGAATACAAACAGAAAGTAGAATACAAACAGAGCCCAGCCAAACCCATTAGATAAAGAATCATATAACAAAAAGAAAGTACAGATAGATAGATCAAACCCATTAAATTGAATACCCATAAATAATATCAACAAAAAAAATAAAAAATTGCAACTAGAATGAAAGCTCACCTGCGAAACTTGGATGGCCTGCCTTCTTCTCCCACTCTTGATAGAAAACTGATATAAGGTGTATTTCTTGGCGCGCAACAAAAAAAATTCCCCTGCTCTTGAGATTTGCAGAATTCCACCAATTATGAGATTTGCAAATTCCGTCTTTATTTCCTTTTGCCAAACACACGGTTACTGTTTTTGCTGCTGTTGAAGTTAGGGTAAAAGCTAAAACTAATGGGTAAGTTTTGGGCGTGTTCCCCCCACCCCCCACCCCCCGCGGCTCCAGCTTTTTCTTTTCTTTTTTTTTGGTTTTGTCTTTTTTGTTTTTTTTGTTTTTTTAAGTGCTGACTAAATATGGAATAATTTTGAAAGACAATAACTCGTGTGTGGGCTGATGATAAAGCATGATTGGGTTTCCTCAATCCATAGTTAGAATTTTGTGTTGTTTTCTCTACCTAGTTTGAACGGGTGAAGCAAATTCGTGTATTTTCAAACTTTCAGGGGAGGTCACCAAATCCAAGAAAAATAATTGAATTCCTTTACATGGTGATATGGGAAACAAACTATTGAATTTGGCCTAAAATGCAATACCATATCGAATTTGGATTCGAATTATCATATTTAACACATCAATGGTTTTTTTCAGATTTTCAAATACTCTTGATCACATGTTCTTCCGATTGATAAAGATAACAAATTATCAAATAACATAAAAAGTTTGATTTCCCTCATCATCATATCGAAAGAATTAAGTGAAATTACTAATGTAAATGAATTTAATTTGGATTACATTGGTCTAATTTGGATTAAGTGAAATTACTAATGTAAACGAATTTGGATTGTATTCGAATTTTGAAATAAAACTCTTTCGTACTATAAGACCATCAATTTTAGCTTGATCCTTCCTTTTGTTTTATCATTGAATATGTAACATAATGGAGTTGAAACGTACAGTCGGGTATAGATAATATGATCAACACTAAAAAATATAGATGTCTTTATCAATCTCAAATAATTTAAGGAATTCAATTATTTAAGTACAAATAATATAGATTTGTCTGTTTCAACACTATTGATTTCATGAATTTGGATTCAATTGGCCTAATTTGAATTTGGATTCAATTGGCCTAATTCGAATTTGGATTGTAAACAAATTGGATTTGGATTACATTGGCCTAAAATGCAATATACCATATCAAATTTGAATTCGAATTATCATATTCAACACATCAATGGTTTTTTTAGATTTTCAAATACTCTTGATCAACATATTTAAACTTGATCAAGTTTAAAACGGACTCTTTCGTACTATAAGACCATCAATTTTAGCTTGATCCTTCCTTTTGTTTTATCATTAAATATGTAACATAATGGAGTTGAAACGTACAGCCGGGTATAGATAACATGATCAACACTAAAAAATACAAATGTCTTTATCAATCTCAAATAATTTAAGGAATTCAATTATTTAAGTACAAATAATATAGATTTGTTACAGAAACCGTATATTTGACAAATACTAATATCAAATGTGATCAAGTTTCAAAGCCCTTTGTTTTATTTTCTTTAATTAATTAATTAATTAAACAAAATATAAACAAATCAGCAATTAACTCCCGTTTGCCCAAAAAAAGTGGGGGAAAGCCCAAATTAATTATTTGTTTGCCGCTCAAGCCTCTTTTTTAATTTAGGTTTTTTGCTAACCCTAACAGTTATCAGTTTCAACAGCAGCCACAAAAGAGAAAAAAAAATCTTCCATACGTCTTCTCCCTAAACCCTCTTCTCCTCAGCAATATCAAGGAAGCCATTGAGCCATACAGGTAACCTACTACATTTTTGCTAATATCCATGTATTGTTATAGATATAGAAAACTTCAACTCATGCTTCACGTTGTACCGGCTCATGTAGAGGTTGTTATAGATCTTTATCATCTTTAAAGATTGTTATAGATATAGAAAAACGGGTACTGGGTATTAGCATACCTTTAGCAAATTGTTTGAACGGACAGCATGCAATTTCCTCTTAAATTGTTTGAACGGACAGCAATTTCCTCTTTGGAAAGAGGAAATTATCTATGGCAGCCTTTAGCATACCTTTAGCAAATTGTCTTCCAGAAAGATAGAAATCAATACCCACGTACGGTGATACTGACATGCGTTCTCATGGAAATCAGTACCCAATACACCAACCACTCCATTTCTGAACGAACTTGCTACGAACCTGAATAGTCCGATTTCCTATACCAATCGATATCGGATTGAGTCCAAAACTTGGGGAACAACATAATATGGTGGGAGGAGTCATTTGGTTGGTTTGGAGTGAAATCCAATGGCTAAAACTATGCAATACACCAACTACTCCATTTCTGAACGAACTTGCTACGAACCTGAATAGTCCGATTTCTTGGACCAATCGATATCGGATTGAGTCCCAAAACTTGGGGAACAACTAATATGGTGGGAGGAGTCATTTGGTTGGTTTGGAGTGAAATCCAATG